TATTGAAATTTTCGAAATACTAATTTTGAACGGCTTACTTTGACAAGTCGTAGCATTTGCTAAGATTGATCGTTCCGTACGTCATTAATGACGTAGAAGACAAGATCGTGACCACTTCGAAATTGTATAAAAAATACAATATTTCGCCATTGTTTGATGGAAAATTAAAATTTTGTTAAAAGGCGAGAGAAAAAGAGAAAAATTAAAATTTATTGTGATTTTACTCTGGTTTGATGGAGATTAAAATCAAATTTTTCGTAAATTTTAATAAAAGTTAAATAGTTATGGATTCCACGAAATATTTTATTAAAATTGATTGTTAACTTTTATTTAGATTAAAATTTATATTTCAATCGATATCAAACATTACTTTATATATATTTTAAAAAAAATCACATTTGGAAGAATTTTCATTGATTTATCCCCCTTTTCTAGTGGCCATCCCATTCCTGATTTCACATTTGTGGTGCCAAACACTCTCAAACAATTTCTTTTTTGCAATTTTTCTTTTAGGGTCTGGTCCAATTTGAAAATTCAATGAAGTTGAGGGATGTGCCCACTTACAGATCATGTCGATGTCACGAGAACTCACGATAAATTACGTACATATCACGTTCAATCAAATTAAAAAGTTATAACTCAATAGATATTACATGTATATTTTAATGTCACATTATTCTCGAGATCTATTTGTCTCAATCTTGTAGTATTATACCAACCATAGTGTAAGCGGTCTAGTTTTATATAGTGTCAAAATATTTTCTAGAATTTAGAAATAAATTTTTGATTCACGAGCGATAAACTTGTTTCGTAATCACTTTTTTTTTTCAAATTGTCACGAAACATTACATTTAGTCAATCCGTCCATTCCATTTGTTCAAATTATCAAAACCATCCGTGCGTATAAACCCACAATGCGCCAATTGCAAAAAAAAGAGGAAAGATACGGATTTAAGTTCCTAAAATCCAAATGCGGACGAATGAGTAAGACTATTCTACCGCCACGTATACTAGAAAGATTGTTGTTATTCCATAGTTGAAAGATTCCACCTTCCACAACACATTAGCAGATTCCACGTGGCAATTACCATGAGAGGGCTTCTTACTAAAAGCATTGCCGTGTAAGGCACTAATCTTATACTTTTATCTCAATTTAATCCTGAATTTTTTTTAATTTTTTTTTCTTTAAATTTGTATTTAGTCCCAAACTTCTTTCTTTGATTCACATTCTTAAGAAAATAATTCATTTTAAATAGTGATGTGATGAAAAATATGTGATTAAAAATGGATAATTAGCACATAACGTCCCTATCTTTTATTGTTATTGTGGAAAAGGTTCATATATTTAATTTTTTTGCATTTTCATCCTTATTTTCACCTTTCATTGCGCAAATGTTATTTTCAATCATTTTTCCAATTAAAAATCGTAAAATGACTATTATACCATTCTCTTTAAATAAAACAAAAGGAAAAAAGAAAAAAAAATTACAATCATACTCCTAATTTAAAAAAAAGTGCAAATCAATCCTAAATAAATTATTAAAATGGTAATTAGTACATAATGTCCATACTTTTCACCATTGTTGTGAAAAACGTCATTACCTTTCATTTTTTTGACATTTTCACCCTTAATTACACATTTGATTGTACAAACCGTCATTTTCATCAAATTTCTCAATAAAAAACTGTGAAATAATGAATATATATTTCTATTTAAATATTCTTTTAATTTATAATTCTTTAATAATTTATTTGAAACTCGATTGAACCTTTTTTATAAAAAATAATTTTTTATTAATGTATTGGAGACTCGTTTGCAATTTTTAAAAATTTTGGAACAATGGTTGTAATTAATTGTTTAGTTTTTTATTTAAATAAGATGATATATTTGTCATTTCACAGCTTTTATTGAGAAATTGGATAAAAGTTAATAGAAACTATTGTTTGCGTAATCAAATGTGTAATTCAGAGTGAAAATATATTAAAAAAAAAGTATAGACATTTTTTGCAATAATAATGAAAGTTAGGGACATTATGTGCTAATTACACTTTTAATAATTTATTTGAGACTTATTTGCGTTTTTTTAAAAAAATTGGGACTGCAATTGCACTTAAATTTTTCTTTTTTTCTTTTGTTTTATTTAAAGAGAAGGGTATAGTAGTTATTTTACGATTTTTAATTGGGAAAATGAATGAAAATGAACTTTTGCACAATGAAAGGTGAAAATTCCAAAAAATGAAAAGTAAGGATATTTTCCACAATAATAGTGAAAGTGTGGGGACGTTATGTGCTAATTACGCTTTAAAAAAGAAGGATAAGTTTTGAATTTGCGTTTAATATTATTTTATTGAAAAATGTGTGATCGAAAATGAGTATTAAAAGAATAAATTTTTTTTTTAGAATGTGAATCAAACGTGGGCTAAGTAGTAAATAGGCAATAGCCACCGCAGCATGCAATTGTGATTATTTCGAGATGAGATGATTGCAAATTAAATGGCCATTCAACTCTTAATCAATTATTAGCATTTCTTTTAAATGAATTGTAAAATCATATTTTAATCACGCCTTTCAGATTTTTTTAATCACGCATTTAAATCATATTTTTACCTGATTTTAGTTTAGATGACTAGGAATTAAATAATTCTTTATCATTATCATAAAAGCATAAAAAATCAAATAAATTTCATTAATTAGACATTTATTGTCTACCGGCACACAGCTTTGACTTCAACTGCCACCGACTTTTACCAATGTTTTCCGGTGAATGTTCACAGTATGTTTGAATCTGGACGTAATTGAAGCACAAATGATATTCACACATTGAATTTAGATGTTATTAATATAATATTTATTTTTACATAATATTGGAAAATTAAATTGNGATGTTATTAATATAATATTTATTTTTACATAATATTGGAAAATTAAATTGAATAGAATTAGGCAGAACTAATTATTGATTGTTAGTAAAATAAATATATTTTTGTGTGTTTATGGTAATACCATTAAAAAATTTAAATACAGTTATTAATTTTAAGAGGGTGTTTGGTGTAGATTAAAATCAAATTTTAAGTCGATTGTGATAGAAATTTTTGAAATGTGTGGTAGAAATGATGTGGGATCCGTGAAAGATATAGTTGATATTGATTATTTGACTTTCACTTATATTAAAATCATACCAAACAGACCCTAAACCCTTATCTCTTGGAACGCCCTAATCTATTTACCATTGATTGCTGGCTTGGCTATAAGTACACACCTCTCCTCTTCTTCATCTTCCATAAACTCAAACCTTACGTCCCCACCAACAAATATTTTAATTATTCTGGCAATGGCAGATACAGGAATTGATCACAATGGTTTCAATGTCTCGAGCAAGAAAAGATCAGGATCCGATGATCAATGGGATCGAGAAGATTTCATCGCAGCCAAGAAGGCGATGAAACCAATGATACGGGAGGACCCAGCGGCGGCGCTATCCAATGCCCGCCACGAATTCGGAGAGCACGGCGGTGTCAACATGTCAATTGAGGCTTCCGCCACCTTCACCGTCATGGAGCCGGAGACCATGCGCCGTATGTTCTCTGGCGAGCTTGGCCCCGATCGCGATTTTTTTATTTACAGCCGCCATTTTAATCCTACCGTTCTGAATCTCGGCCGTCTCATGGCTTCCCTCGAGGGCACCGAGGCGGCGTACTGCACCGCATCCGGCATGTCTGCCATCTCCTCCGTTCTCCTCCAACTCTGCAGCTCCGGCGGACACGTGGTCGCCTCTAATACACTGTACGGCGGCACCCACGCTCTATTGACACATTTTTTGCCTAGGGCATGCAACATAACGACGTCGTTTGTGGACATTAGGGATCACGAAATGGTTAGGGAAGCTATCACAGAAGGCAAAACTAAGGTGTTGTACTTCGAATCCATGTCGAATCCAACTCTGACAGTGGCTAACGTGCCGGAGCTATGCAGGATAGCGCACGACAAGGGGGTTTTGGTGGTGGTGGACAACACTTTTGCACCGACGGTGCTGTCGCCGGCTAGGTTGGGTGCTGACGTGGTGGTTCACAGCATTTCCAAGTATATTAGCGGTGGGGCAGACATAATTGCAGGTTCGTTCGTACATTCCTGTTTTAAGCCTACGTTGTTAGGAAACATACACAGGACGCGTGTCTTTGAACGTGTCACGATAACAGGAAAGTAAGGGAGAGTTTGAACTCAATTTTAACTTCTCATCTTCGATGAAAGAAAAATTCGGATCACAACTCTGAGCCCCATTTCGAAGAGTTAGATGTTAGGACACCACAAAGCTGGTTTCCGCTATTATTTTAGCTTCTTCCCCCCTTCAGAAGCGAAGAAAACTATTATTTTAGTTTGGAATCTAACTTTTGAAATTTTATATCACTTCTTAATCAGTTGTCACATTCGTTATACTAATTTTTTCGGTAAGAAATGTTTTTTTTTGAAACACAAGCGTTACCCTCGGCAGATAGATCCAAATGTATGTCCTAAAAGCATGCATGTGATTTTCAGACTAAAGTATAGTTTGATCACATGCCACCTCCTAGCGTGGCCAGGTACAGAATTTTTTTGACATATAGATGGACACTTGGCAGAAGATGAAAAAATCCCAAAAAAAAAAAGCTGCCATACAGGTTGCAGTTCCTGTACAGTTTTTGTCTATGTTTTTTACTGTACTTGCAGAATAATTCAATATACTATTATGGTTGGATTTGTTACATGAGTGGGTCCAAAATAAAATGTGTATGTATGTGAGTCAACATCATGCGAGCGATGGGATTTTTTATTTTTATGTTTTCTCCTAAAAGATATCACACTTTTAACTACTTTCATATTCTGCTTCTTTTAGGCCAGAATAACCAACACGGTGACATCACTTAGCTTTAGATTGAAGATATGCACATCTTGAACTTGTTTCTTTATAAGTTCAAGTCTTCACAGAAGGCAGATAGTTTTATACTTATATATATTCATATTCCATCTTTAGTAATGTGGACGACGGAAAAAAGAAAGACAATATGTCTTCATCATAGATTCGTACTTCACTGATTAATATTTTTAGCTTAAGATAAATTTGTTCTACTTCTACAGGTGCTATATGTGGGCCGGCCAGCCTGGTGAATGCCATGATGGATCTTCATCAAGGAGCTCTTATGCTATTGGGCCCAACTATGAATCCAAAAGTTGCTTTTGAACTTTCGGAAAGGATTCCTCACTTGAGCTTGAGAATGAAAGAGCACTGCAATCGGGCCCTGGTGTATGCCACAAGAATGAAGAAACTGGGCCTAAAAGTTATATATCCAGGCCTAGAAGACCATCCAGATCATTTCATTCTCAAGTCTTTGGCAAATAAAGACTATGGCTATGGGGGAATTCTGTGCGTGGATATGGAAACTGAGGAAAGAGCTAACCGGTTGATGAATTTGTTACAAAATTGCACTCAATTTGGGTTTATGGCTGTTAGCTTGGGGTACTACGAGACCTTAATGTCTTGCTCCGGGAGTAGCACGAGCAGTGAATTGAATGCTGAAGAGAAGGCATTGGCAGGCATTTCTCCTGGGTTAGTGAGGATGTCAATTGGGTATAGTGGCACCTTGGAGCAGAAATGGAGCCAGCTCGAGAAGGCACTTTCCCGACTCAAATGATTCAGGTTTATTCCAGAAGATTTAGGCGTGATGTGTTAACAGTTAATGTTTCTAGTACAATGTGATCCATCATATGAATCAAAATCTCGTATAAAAATAAATTAAAAATGAATGGAGAATTCTGAAAACATGGAGAAGATCCCAAAGAACAAATCGAATTCGGGCTTTTTATGAAAAAGCATAATAAAATTGACCAAACAATCGAGTGACATTTTGACTTTTAATTTATTAAATTTGGGCTTGTTATGATTGGCTAATGTCCATTCTTACCTACCATTAATCTTTTTGGAATACAATCAAGAGATTATTATTATTATTATTATGGCAATTAGGATTTAGCATTCCACAACACATGATTGGAAGAAATTTCTTGGTCGCAAATAATTCTCTTGTCGGTTTTAAACTTGGAAGTCATTTTCAATTTTAATTTTAGAGCTTGTTTGGGAGAGATTTTTGGAGGAAGAATTGATTTTGAATAGTGATGTGATGTGAAATGTGGTTGAAAAAGAAGAAAAAATTATTGATGTGATTAAAAATATTAGGGCCTGTTTGGTAGGGATTCTCATTTTTTACAGTAAATCAATTCTTATTTTCAACCGCACATTCTTCAATAAAATAATATTACACACAAACTCAAAATTTTCCCTTATTTTTAACCACACACTATCAAAATGTTATTTCAGAATGCATTCTGATTTGTTTTTGATTTTTTGATTCTACAGTAAATCAATTTTCATTTTCAACCACACATTCTTCAATAAAATAATATTTTCCATCACATCAATAATTTTTTCTTCTTTTTCAACCACACATTTCTCATCATATCATTATTCAAAATCAATTCTTCCCCCAAAAAATTCCTACCAAACAAGATCTTATTTTATTAAAGAACGTGTGGTTGAAAATGAGAATGATTTACTGTAGAAAAATCTAAATCCCTCCCAAACAGGGCCTTAAAGATTAATAGCGTCAATTAAAGTCCACGTGCTCTTTAGGTAACAACACGTACCGGCATCCAATTATGTTGCACCGAGTATTACGATATAACAAAGCATATCGATTAATTAATACCAAAAGGGCATGTATGATATGTAGTAAGAGAGAGATTATACTAAAGTAACGAATAAGATACATGTACTCGTTACCCTATCAAAGATCTTTTATAAAGGAGACCCCCAAAAGATCACAAATTGTCTTTCCTCTGACTACGAGTTGTAAATTCTTGTATGAACTTAAAACTGGTTAATTAAAGTAGGACTGACAACTTGACGGGTATGAGATGGATCGGTCATTCCCACCCTCGTCCCATTGAATATTTTTCTTACCTTACCCCATCCTCATATCCGCTTAAAGTGGGAAGGGGCGGGTTCAGGGAAAATAGAGGCGGGGCGGGGCAGGTCATCTGCCCCATTTATTTTTTTATGTCTTTACTTAGTAAATATTATTACTTTTTTATCATTTTCTGAGAAACAACTTATGTTCTCTTTAAAAATATGATAAATCTATTATTTTTGTTTGATAAAAAACTTAAATTTAAAATTAACTTTAAACGGGACGGGTAGCGGGGCGGGGACTATGATTCCCGTACCCGCCTCGTAACCGCTTCGAGGCAATTCATTTTCAATCCCACATTTTATGTTTTTACTTAGTAAATATTATTACTTTTTTACCAATTTGTTAGAAACAACTTATGTTCTCTTTAAAAATATGATAAATCTATTATTTTTGTTTGATAAAAAACTTAAATTTAAAATTAACTTAAAGCGGGACGGGTAGCGGAGCAGGGACTATGATTCTCGTACCCGCTTCGGGACAATGATCATCGCCCCGTCCCCGCCCTGTTTACCTGATTAGACAGGTAATCCTCGCCCCACTGATTGAATGGATTTTTTTTGACATACGTAATAATAAAAGTATCTTTCCTATACATTTCAAGAAACCAACATTCCGAAAAGGATTCTAATTTCAATAGATTTGGCACTTAGGAAGGAAACGGCAAACACACGAAAAAAAAATAAAAAAAAAATTGACGTGTTGGATTTTTTTTGTGTCAATATACGCTTGATACAAAATTACATTTTAATATTTTAAACTCATTTAAACAACTCTGTTTGGTGGGAATTAAATTCATATTTTTAATAGATTTTGATTAAAGTTGATAAAATGTATGGTTGAAAAGTTATGGAACTCATACTATATGTGGTTAAAATTAATTATTGACTTTAACTTATATTAAAATTTGAATTTTGATTCCTACCCTTTTTAGGTTGTCTAGTAAGACCCATGGTCTCGCGAACCAGGTTAATTCAATTAATATATTGTCCAATGTTCATAATTCACATTGTGCTTAATGAACTCAACTAAATACAAGTTAGCCTTTTCTTTCTTTTTCTTCGCATAGAACTGAAAATAAGAGGGTGTTTGATGTAGATTAAAATTAGATTTTTAGTAGAATGTGATAGAAATTTTTGAAATGTATTGTTGAAAAGTTGTGGGACCCATGCAAAATGTGGTTAATATTGATTGTTTGACTTTGACTTGGATTAAAATCAGATTTTAATCCGTATCAAACAGGACCTAAAAATAAAAAAATGAAATATAAATAATAATGTTTTATAGTATCTGAGTTTTCTATGTGATTCCTCAGCACATGTAATATACTACATTTATGGTGCATTTAAGTTGGACAGTTGATGCTTAATAATCTGTATGGATGCTTATCTTGATTTTTCTGCATTAATCATTGATCTGAGACATTTTTGAAACACCAATTAATATATTAATCTATCTCTGTTTATTTCATCAAATTGCTATTTTTCTGGATCTGCTACTAGAGACAGTTGCTCCTCTGAAGCTGATCTTATTTTTCTGAAAATTGATACAAGTTTTTTAGCAGCATATGATTCACGTAATCTAATTTATTTCTCGTTAAACTAGAAAGATTGAAAGAGCGGGCCACAAGTTAACAGTATTTCTGGGGGTATATTACTTTACATTCATACACAGTACATAAATTTGAATTTACTTGATTCCACTTCTGCAACTTTACATTCATAAATGCATACACCGACTGTTTCTCACTGTCTTGTTAGATTTTCGAGCAAGCATTTTCCCTCGTACTTGCTACTTTGATGGAGAAGGCATACTCAACACATGTCAGATTGAAATGCTAAAATTCCACATTGAACGTTCGATAGATGATAAACATGAAGAAAATATAATACTACAATGATGCAACTGTGAATACCCTCGTACAATTTTGTATTGGCTAATTCTCTAATATATGAAAATTTTGTAAAAGAAAATACTAAATTGTGCGCATAAGAAGTTGTGACGTTCATTGTTCTGTTTCTGTCATGTGTCTATTTTGGTACTTGATCTCACTTTGGTGGGACATGAGATAGGCCAACAGCAGGAGAGTGGGGGATATACAGGAGCAATCTGTTGTTGATCCTGGATTCTGTCCTCATGATCACAGCTTATGGTAAGAGTAAATTGGATTGGAAGACAATGGATAGGATCAAGAAACCCAAAAAAAAAAAAAAAAAGACTATAATCTTGGGCGTTCTACTGACTATTCCTGCGTATCAAACACTCTTTTGGAAGTTTGTGCTCAGCTGAGGCAATAAAGTTTCACCGACCAATTATATTGGCTGGAATATCCGAGTCATTTACATGTCCACTGTAACTGGAATTATCGATAAGGCTACTGGATTCAAAACTGTATACATTTTCTGTCGATGTTAAGTAACCATCAGCCATTTGTGCCAATTCCGGATCATCAGCTTCTTCCCACAAGTAGTCAACCCTTCTAGTAAAATCATTGCACAAGGGCATGCCTAGCTCAGGGCTGTTGTTTTCTGGAAGAAATCTTGGCTGTTCTGAAGTTTCAATCTTTATGTTTCTGTTTTCACATTGCTCATCACTCGTTCCTTCAGCCTCTTTCAGTTTCTGCAGCTGGTGATCATAGAATCTTGTGAACTGCTATGTAGAAATATACAAGACACTTGAATTTCCAGAAAACATAATGGACATGTTTGATACTTGGTACTGGACAGGACGTGACAAGATTTTAACTTCGTATTTATCTTTAATACTATCCAATACTGTTCAATAACCTTACCAAACATGCCATGCTAGTATAATACCTGGATGAGCAGGGCTTGCTTCTCTTTCTTCATGTATTCAAACTGGGAAGCCAACTTGTCGTAATCCGCTTTAAGCATGTTATAATTCCGTTCAAGCTCCTTCGGTTTTGATCGAGCCCTTCTATTCTGGAACCATATCGCAACCTGTCGTGGCTGCAGCCCGAGCTTGTCGGCCAAGTGCTGCTTCATGCGTAGCTCTGGCCTAGACTCCATCTCGAAAGTGGTCTCCAGTGACTTGATCTGTTCATCGCTAAATCTTTGTCTGCTGATGTTTTTGTTCGTCTTGTTAGTATGAGACATGAATTGAAAGCTCTCTCTCCAGTGCCCTCCCAAATTCTTTAAAGATCGATGTTTGTTTTTGCTGCTTTAGTTAGTCGATTGCAGCTTTAAAGAAGTGTATGGTACAGCAATTGAGGACGTGTGTGTTTCCAAATACTGGTGGACCTTAAGATGGTACTGATGTCCAAGATTCCGGGCTGATTGATAAAAATGTTTTTCCTGCTGGCATTGATTTAGTTATTTTCATGTCATTCGCCATATCATATTGTACAAGACCTTTTTCTTGAGGTATTTTCAGAACGAAAAGTGCTACATGCTCAGGAGCACGTCGGCTCTGTACGTGCCATACATCTGTCCCCTTTTCAGAATGGTCGAGATAAATTCTATAAATCAAATATCATACAAATTTCTTTACCACCGGATTTACTACTAGAGTTTAACTTATCTACGTCCACTGTGTATGAATACGGCAAGTGAATGCATTTCACGCTCTTGTTGACTAAGTACCTTGGATTGATCGGATCGAGAATCATAAGGACTTTTTAAAATCTTACACGTACAATAGAACTAATTCAAAAATAAATCATTTAAAAATCGAGTAGAATCTAATATTTCATCATATGAGGGTGGGAACAAGTTGCATTGATGACCGGGGCAGAAATTAGATTAGTGATAAGGTCGTGTGAACATTAGAAGAAAGTATCATTGGGTCACATAGATTGACGCGTTTTAATTAGTCATTTGTTAAGCAATTTCCAGCCCATGACAATGCCAAGCTTTGCTGTCCGGTTTGATCCAATGTTGTCGAGGCAAGTATCTTCGGAGACACGTATCCCTATCTAAGTGTGCTTGAGCTTTTGTGAATTAGCTTTTTTGATAAAAAATTAAGTTAAAGTCAATAATTAATTTTAACAACACATTATTTTATCAATTTTTATTAAAATATATTTAAAATCAGCTTTGTTTACGTGTAATAATATGGTAAAAGAACTGAGAACGTGGCATTATACTTTTAGGGGGATTTATTTGCATTTTAACTTAAATAAGTGAAAAAGTTTCATATATGTCAATTTGGTGTATGGTTCTAGAACCATCAATGGAGAGCTCCCTTTCCCCTATTGCTCGACTATTTAGGGGATGCTCTCTTTATATTCGGTTTTTTATTTTGAGTTTTGAACTCATTTTAAATTTTGTGTTTTAAGTGTACATTTTGAAATTGTTGAAAATATGTTTTTTTAGATTTTGAAAAATTGCCAAAAATCAAAAATTGGAAAACTCGTTCTCTCTCTTCTTCCACTCCTATTTGTCGACGACTCGACGAGCAACAACGATGGCTGCGATCGGTGCGTGGTGTGTGACGGTGGTTGGTCGTGGTTACGATCGTTGGTGGCTTCGTCTCTCTCTTTACTGTGGCAGTGGTGTGTGGTGGTTTTGGGTACATGGTGTGCAACGATGGTGTGGTGCAAGTTGTGGCTGTGGTGTTTGCGTGCTAGGTTGTGGCGGTGGTGGTTCTACAGCGATTTTTGTAGTGGTTGATCTAGCGGTTGTGTGGTTGTGGTGTTTGCAGGCAATGGTGGTTGGGGTGGTGATGGGGCAGCGATAGCGGTGTGGTACATGCGACGTTAGTGGTGGTTGGGGGTGACGTTAAACTGAAAACACTCAAAATGCGTTTTGAAAATTTTGATTTGACTATAATTGAAAACACAAAAAAAGGAAAAATTTGTTGTTTTGGATTTTTTTTAAATTTTTAATTTGTTTTCAAAAACCTATTTTCAAAAATAGAAAAGAGAACGCGTTTTCACTATTTTAGAAAATTGAAAATAGAAAACGGCTTGAAAACGGTAAAGAGAAAACCCCTTAATTTTCGAAGCGCTTGTTCTCACGTGAGCCATTCTTCTTCTCTTATGTTTACGTTTTATTCTTAAAATCAAACTGTTTTTCCAGTTTGATTTGATTTTAAATCAAGATTGAACGATAAAAAAACCTTTTTCTAAACAAATAAAAAATAAATATAGCAGTCTAAAATTCTAATATAACACTTCAATTGAAAGTTTTTAAATAGAAATGTTACCATGTAAATATATTTGTATTAATAGAAGCTTAAATCAATAAAATTACACAAAGTTCAACAACAAAATTTAAGCTTCCAAAATTCATTTTTTCAAAAATATTATAATAAATCATGATTTTCATAAAGAGCCAATAGAAACAGACTAACAAGTAAATTTGTTAAAATATAGTATGAACTAATAAATTGTATAAATAAGTAAATTTTTAACTGTTGAAACTTAAATTGAACTATTTTCTAAACCATTTGGTTAGGATTTGAATCAAAACATTGGCTGATCCACGTGGACTCGAGCCAACGATTTAAAAATCGCGATTTTGATTAAATATGATTGCTTGCTATATTTTTGTTTACATTTTTTTTGTTGACGTAGAAACCCGGAGTCGCTACCCGTCGTGGAGCTCTGACCACCGTGAGTGCGCACTAGGTAAACTCCGCTCCATGTGCAGTAGTCCGTAAAACTACAAAAGAGAGTTTTTTTTTTGTTTACTTTTACATGGTGACGAAGTGGTGGAGTCTGGGCACAGGGGTGGTGTCTTTTGGATGGGTGGAGAAGATTATTACATTTTCTTTGTTTTTGTGTATTTTTTAATTATTTCTTTTGTTTTCTGAATCTTTCATTTTCTTTTTTAATAGTTTAACTAACAATAGGAAAATGTCAATTCTGTCCTTTTAAATTTTTTAATTTGCTGATCAAGTGGGTTTCCAAAGGTTAGGGACTCAGTGGCCCAGAAGAAAAAGCTGGAGACTAAAGTGCCAACGATCTCAAAGGTTGGGGGCTTTATCGTATTTTACCCTTTTGAATAGAAAGCTCATGAGGACCTTGAAGACTTGTTTTTTATCGATTGGAGCGAACAATAGTCAAAGTCTTTATGGACTTGTAGGTAAAAAATGCACTTTAGTCTTTTCATAGTTCTTGATGATAAGTAGATTTGCTATACTTTTTGTCAATTTACATTTCTGAAAGTAAGTCACCTTCCTCTATGATGAGGAAGTTAGGAGGCCGATTGGGTAATTTTGAAGTTAGCATAAAGAGTCGCAATTTCTTTCATTTGTATAACCCAAATCTTACAAGTTTGACTGATCGTATCGTGCTGGGAGTGAAATCAATCATGAAGTTAGATGCAAAACAAAGAATAGTCAAGTTTGGCTTTGAGATGTTGAAAGGTAGTTAGGAACAAGATATGAGAGATAAATGAAGGATGGTGTGCCAATTATCTTGGGTTGACATTAGGTATCTAATCAATATAGATACAAAAAAGTGAATGGCATGTGAGCTCATTATGATATAACTTAAACCGCTTAGTGACTTATTTCGTTAGTTGAAATTATCTATGTTGTCACACAACTCAACTTGACCTCGAAATAAGATAAATGTACAAGTCGACGATCACGGAAACTAAAGATTAGGCCACACGTTCTAAACATCACATGTTCTATTATTTTAGGCCGTATGCGTTTTCCTTGGTGGCCAAGTTTCACAGAGTGCCTTTCTTTTTGGCATAGAAAGGGATACCGTACGACAGTAGGATGTTCCGCTAGACTACCTTCTGCATTCTTTCAATCGTTTCGGGATAAAAAAAAAATTGATTACAATTTGTAGAATGCTTGTAACATAAAATTGAGATACATTGAAAGAAAATTGATCATTGATTACTTGAAAGTTAGAAATTACAATTGATGAACGCGAGAAATTACAATAGCTGGTACAGGGGGCAAACACCAGTAAGTTTGAAAGATTTTTGAATGACTAATAACCACTATAATAGCTTACGAAACAAAAACCTAATTGATGAGAGTAGACGTTTAAATGATGAGAAATCATACTAAACGTTTATCACTATCAGAGTTATTTTACAATTAAAATAAACTATTACTATGGAAAGAAAATTATAATTAAAACTTGAACTAATATTTACAATGTACGGTCGAAGTTGAGCAAACTGTGGGTGCGATTAGGTCAATGGGCTTAGACAAAATTGCGATCCTTGACACCAAGACATGCTTGTCTGCTCCCAAAGAAATTTGGGTTGGCTTCTAGTGTTATTTGAAAAAGTTGAGTGAAATATGAATTTCATGGTCTTTTTATCTTAATATCATGTTTGAAAAGTATTGTATTGCACGAAATTGAACAGTATTATTTACAAAATTTTAACTTCTTTTTTTTATGTAATACAATTTTTTCTTATATTCCAAACATGCACTAAAGAAATAAAGATTATAAAAACTTCTTTCTAACTGGACTTAATTCCATGAAGTTTGGCTTCTATAAAACATACGGAATTGGAAATATGTTAACAACGATTGCCTGAGATGATCCTTAACGTTTGCCATCGGGACAAAATTGGTCCCTAATGTTTCTTTCTTAGCACTAAGCGTCCCTAACTTATGTGTTTTGGTGCGCAATTGGTCATTTTTATTAAGACGATCAATATTCCCTTAATTTTCTTAAAAAGTTGCAATGGATCCCCAACATCTAAAAAAAAGAAAAAAGAAATACAAATGGGTCCTCAACTTATATTTAATAATATTTAATTTACATCACTAAATATATCATTCCAGCCATGTCAATTTAATTTTCCAGTAGGAACAAAATTTTAAATTGTCTTTTTTAAGTGTATGTGATTGCTTTGTGAATTGTAAAAAAAATGATTAAAATTTAAGATAAAAAAATTACATAATCACATATATAATTTTATGATATTCAATAAATCTTATTGTATTTTACTCAACTTAAAAATATTGATAAAAATTATTTTAGAATTAAATGTTCTTTTATTTTCAGTATTAAACTATAATAAAACGGTAAATTAAAATATGAAAAATAGAGTTGAAGCTCTATTATTTGTATTTAATAAACGAATAGCTCTGAGGATCAACTTCGTAACACAAAGTTGTTTTTCTTCTTCTTTGTTTTTATAACCAAGAAATAAAACTTTTATTTAAATATTGT